GCCCAGAATTCCCCAGCCAGCCATACTGGCTGGGGAATTCTGGGCGTTGAAGTCCACTCGTCTTAAACTTGTTAAGGTTGAAAAATACTGTACTAGCCTCTCACTACTATAATACTACATTTTCTCCTAGACTGTACTTAAAAGTAAGCATATACTTCTAACTACACATTGGCTTATAGCAAAAAACAAAAAAACAAAAATGGGCATAAACGGTAATAAGGCTGCCCATTTAGGCCATTTTAAATGTACACAGGACTTTTCCGACCTCAATACATTTCCTCCCAACAATCCTGGAAAGTTTTCATTTTTTGTTTTACCGAAGAGGGAATGAGAAGAGGGAGGGAATATGAATTAACCAAAGGCTACAGGGTGAGTCCCAATGAACTTGGGTCCAAGAGTTATAAAGCAGAGGCCCAGATAGGCCTGGACGCCAATTCCTAAGAAACATTTGTGGAAAACCAGCTTTCCCCATTAATGCCCCAGAGGTATTTTATACCTCCTTCACCCACTTGGTCCTGACTTGCTTTATATATTTCCAGGTACCTCCAGAGAACTCTGGATTGATTGGACTACAGGATCAGTTATTAAAATGGCAGTTCAACACGTTTAGCGGGACCAGGTTGGGGCGTGCTGATTCAGTGTGTGTGTGGTTTGAATCACGGATGGAAAGATGCGAAGAAGGGTACAGCTTATTTAAGAGAAGATTATTTCCTTCTCTCCTTCCTTTGAAAAACTAACATTCAAGCAAACTTATTTTTCATAACAGGTTTTCCGGTGACCATCGAATGCTTATATTGGGTGGGAAAGACACAGATCCTCTTATTAGCAGCCCCTTTTTAAAAATTAACATTACAACATGGGTGCTTCAATTCCAGGTAGGCACAAAGAAACGTAGTGACAATAATGCAACATATCCTAAGTGTTCTGGAAGAAACCTGGTTAAACCCAGCTTAGTTCTGAGTAAATCTGTATTGTACTGTGTATTATGTCAGGATGAAAACGTCAAAGAACATACCTAATTAATCTTTGATAACGTCTAGCTGTCTTCCTGTGCTTTTTAGCACAAACACCATTTAGATCACCACCGGGGAACCGTTTCTTCTGTCAAGAGCGTAATTACCTCCAGGAAAGTATTTGAGGTCACATTGTGGTGGGCAGTCATCCATTCTGACATTGGCTTCCTGATTTACTCCTTGTGGTCATTCTCTGGCCTACAAGAAGGCTTTTCTTCAGCTTTGATGGATCAAGCAGTTGTGCCCTACCTGAAGGAGGACTGGTGTTGGTGACACATGCTGGTGACTTCAGATGAATTGTTGCATTGCACTTGTTGGGGCTCTTCAGACTGGCTTGGAAGTTGATCTGGCCCAGAATGTGGCACCACAGGAGATGGTGGTACCTCTTGGAAGATGCCACATTATCCCCATTTTGCTTTGGTTGCTGGTTGTTTTGAAGCCCAGTTCAAGGTATCTGTACTAGAGTAGGCGGTCTGTAGATAATTTGGACCACCACTATACATGATTTGGTAAGTCTCTAGTATTTTCAATGAGGAAGAATTCAGCTAACCGAGCTGGGAAAGTCCTCAGCCAGAGAATCTGAGCAGAGCAGAGCATTCTCCAATGTAGTGCTCTCTAGAGGAGATGAAATAGCTCTCCAGAATACCAAGAAGGATCATTTATTGTGAATTTGGGGATTGATAATTGCAGTGCATCTGGATGCTTGGCCAGGGAAATCAGTGGTCTGCAACGCTCAGTGCTGATGTTCATGTTTCCCAAATCAATACATGTACATGTGCATGTGCGTATACACACACAGTAATGAACACAGAACCTTGTAGCACCTTCAAGATTAACCAACTACATTAGGGCATTAGCTTTTTTGAGCACAACAGCTTATGCCTTAATAAAATTAGTTAGTCTTGACGGTGTTACCAGACTTCATGTCTACTTTGTTGCTGTGGAGAAACACAGCTCTTCTCCCCCTTTCTACAAAACTACAGTTTAGTGCAACAGGTAAATCCACCCATTATAAAGTTATGTTTCCCCCTAACTGCATCACAATCACATCTGGCAACACCTGGACTGGCCGGTCCCACAATACTACCTTTGCATCAGCCCTAGCTTGTTTGTGAGGGAGACTTAAGTCATCCTTAGCAGAACCGTTGTTAATGTAGCATTTCTCTGACACCGTCCAAGGGCAGCCTCAAGGCACATAAAGTTGGTTTGGCTTGGGAAGGAAGTTGGCGACTCAGTGACTTGAAATGGAGGCCATTCAAGCAGGATACAGATCAGCACTGGAGATAGGAAATTCCTGCCAATTGGAGAAAGGAGGAGGGGAGATTCAAGTCACTCAGTTTCATAGGAATCTCCTTGCAGCTGTCTCAAAAACTGCCTGATCTCTTGCTGGAATGAAACTTCACAAAATAGATTGTGTTCCCTGGGATTGCCACTACACATTACTTTGGTCTTTGTTGACCAACCAATCAAGGCCTCTGCGTGTTTTTCTTTAGCTTCACAATGGCCTTCCAACAGATTTGGGTGCTGCTGTGAGTCCCAGGAAGAGCAAAGATTAAGCTGCTTCCAGCACTGTTCTGAGAAGTTGCATCTACTGGTCTTCTACCTGTCTTCTGTTCATAAAGCAGCTTTTCATAATTTAAGGGATCTTCCTCTAAAAAATAGA